TAAGCCTGGCTCCTCTCCTTCCTCTTCCCCGGCGGGTAAGAAGGCTTCGCTTTCTTCCTCAGCTCCTCCTTCTGGCTCTGTTGCTCCTTCCCCTCCCGTTTCAGTGCTTGCGCCCCCTGTTCCTGCTATGGAGGTTTCTTTGGCCCCTGCTTCCCTTTCGGTTGCTGCTCTTGCTGGGGTGCGCTCCTCTCTTTCTACTCCCCCTCTTCCTGCTGCTGTCCTTGACTGCTCCTCTCCATTGTCTTCTCCTCCTCCTCCTCCTTCGGACCCTGCCCGCCCACCTCTGATCTGTTCTCCCGTTTCCTTCCCTCCGTCTTTGCTCAGTTTACCCATGCCCCCTAACCCTGACTTTGCTGACCCTGATCCCGACCCTGATATTCTTTAACGTGCTCTGTTGGTCTTTCGCCTTTGTTTCTTCCTTGTTCTCTGTTTTTGTCCTTTCTCTTCTCGTCGTTGTCCATTCTTCAATGGAACGTTCGAGGTTATTACGCCAATTTCCTCGAACTCCAACTTCTGGTTTCGCGGTTTTCGCCCCTTTGTGTCTGTCTCCAGGAGCCAATGCTTGGTGCTCGTCCTGGTCGTTTTCGTGGCTATTCCTTTCTCTCCCCCCCCCCAGCCATTGCTGGGGCTTCTAATTCTTCTGCTCTCTTGATTCGGGCTGATGTTCCCTTTGTTCCTTTACTTTTTCCTTCGCCTCTCCATTGTTCTGCTGCTCGTATCTTTGTGGGGAAATGGTACACAGTTTGTTCCATTTATCTCCCCCCGAGTGTCCCGCTCTCTCTTCCTGATTTGAAACACCTCCTGGACTCCTTGCCGGAGCCTGTGCTCCTGCTGGGTGACTTCAATTGTCGTCATTCTCTTTGGGGTGACGTTCTGACGAATACCCGGGGTCGCCTCCTTGAGCCGTTTCTCCTCTCTTCTTCCCTGTCTCTTCTGAATTCTGGTGAGCCCACTCATTTGGACTCCCGGACTCGCACCCTTTCTTGTCTTGATCTTTCTCTCTGCTCTTCTTCTCTTTACTTAGATTTCACGTGGCAGGTTCTTGATGACCTCCATGGAAGTGATCATTTCCCCATCCTTGTTTCCTTTTTCTCTTTTCGCCCTTCCCTCTCTTTCCCTAGGTGGCAGTTTGCTAAGGCGGACTGGACCCTATTTTCCCTCAGTGCTACTCTCTCTGACCTCTCCCTTCTGCCCCTCTCTCGCGCTCTCCTCCTTTTTCATGACACTGTCTTCGACGCTGCCCTCCGCTCTATTCCTCGCTCTTCCTCTCGGGGTCCACGGAAGTGCGTTCCCTGGTGGAATGCGGACTGTGCTCGGGCTGTCCGCTGTAAGCGTGCAGCCTGGAAGAAGCACCGCCGTAGGCAGACGACCGATTCTTTTCTTTCGGAAAGCGAGTGCGGTGGCCCGTAGGGCCATCCGTACGGCTAAACGTGAATGTTGGGCATCTTATGTCTCGACAATTACGTCCGAAACCCCTCTGGCCCAGATCTGGAAGCGTATCCGCAAGATAGCGGGTAAGTTCGTTCCCGATGTTTCACCGGTCCTTCACCTCCATGATACTCTTGTGGCGGACCCGTTGCAGGTCGCTTCCGAACTGGGTTCCCACTTTTCTTCTGTTAGCTCTGGTCTTCATCTTCCCCAATCTTTCCTTCTTCGTAAACCTGTCCTTGAGTCTCGTCCTTTAGATTTCTGCACTCATCTTCAGCTTCCCTATAATGATCCCTTCTCTCTCTCTGAACTTCGTTCTGCCCTGGCCCTCTGCGGTTCAACGGCAGCGGGCTCCGATGGTATTCATTATGAGATGCTTCGCCATCTCCCTCCGAGCACGTCTCAGTATTTACTGAGTCTGTATAATCGGATCTGGGAGTCGTCGTCAGTCCCTGAGGACTGGCTCGATGCCGTTGTCCTCCCTGTTCGCAAACCGGGGTCTCTGGGTACTTCCCCTAAGGACTTTCGCCCTATTGCTCTCACAAGTTGTGTCTGCAAACTCTTTGAACGTATGGTTAACGTTCGTCTGATGTGGTTCCTGGAACACCATCACCTCCTCTCCCCTTCTCAATTTGGTTTCCGCAAGTGCCGCAGCACGACAGATGTCCTGGTGAACTTGGAGGTCTATATTCGTACTGCTTTTGCTGCGAAGACCTCCGTTGTTGCCGTCCTTTTTGACCTAGAAAAGGCTTACGACACCACTTGGCGTTATCATATCCTATCTCAACTTCATTCTTTTGGCCTTCGTGGTCATCTCCCTCTCTTTCTCCGCAGCTTCCTCTCTCGTCGTTCCTTTCGGGTGCGCCTTGGTACCGCTCTCTCTCCCTCTTTTCAGCAATACGAAGGTGTGCCCCAGGGTAGTGTTCTGAGCACTACTCTTTTTCTGGTTGCCCTCAATGGTCTTCTTTCCTCTCTTCCTTCTGGTGTCTTCTCCGCTCTCTATGTCGATGATCTTACCCTTTGTTGTCAGGGTGATGATTCGCCTCTCCTTCAACGCCGGCTTCAACTTGCAATTGATGCCGTGTCGTCTTGGGCCACAGGTCATGGCTTCAAGTTCTCTACTTCTAAGACTTGTGCCATGACTTTTACGCGGAAACGGGTTGTTCTTCGTCCCTCTTTGTCACTTTATGGTCATCCCCTTGAATACAAAGATTCCGCGAAGCTTTTGGGGTTATTCCTTGACACTCGTTTGTCTTGGTCTCCCCATATCTCTTACCTCCGTGTTGAGTGCTCTAAGGCCCTTACCCTCCTTCGGGTCTTGTCCCATACTTCTTGGGGGGCAGATAGGCGCACTCTCCTTGCTTTACATTCCTCTCTCGTCCTGTCTAAGCTCGATTATGGTTGCCCTGCTTACTCGTCTGCTTCTCCTTCTACTCTTCGCCGTCTTGATGCTTTGCACCATACTGGGTTGCGCCTCAGTTCTGGTGCCTTTCGTTCGACTCCCATCCTTAGCTTGTATGTTGACACTGGCTTCCTGTCTCTCCAGGACCGCCGTGATCGCTACTGTCTTCGCTATCTTGCGCGGTCCTTGCAACATCCTTCCTCTCGCCTCTGTCGTGCTTTAACTTTTACCCCTCCTGCGGTTCCTGTTCCTCTTCACCTCCTCCCTCTTTCTGTCCGGTTATCTCGCCTACAGGATTCTCTTTCCGTTCATATTTCTGATGTTTCTCCTCGTGTTGTTCCTTCTTTGCCCCCGTGGAGGGTCCCTCTTCCGCGGTTTTGTACATCCTTGACTCGTATCACTAAAGCTTTTACCCCTCCTACGGTTCTAAAACGCCTTTTCCTCGAGCACTTTTCTTCTCACTCCCGCTCCGTTTCTGTCTTCACCGATGGGTCTAAGTCAGCGGACGGTGTTGGCTACTCTGTTGTTTTTCCTGATCGCACTTATATGTGTCGCTTGCCTCCGGAGACTAGCATCTTTACAGCGGAACTTTATGCTATTCTCTATGCTCTTCGTCTCCTGCTTTCTCGTTGTCAGTCTTCCTTTGTGGTTGTTGTTGACTCTCGTAGTGCCCTCATGGCTCTCGGGTGCTTTAATCCAGTTCATCCAGTAGTTGTCGAGATCCAGCATTGGCTGTTTCTCGTTCACAGTAAATTTAAGTCGGTTGAGTTTTGTTGGGTTCCCAGCCATATTGGCGTGTCTTTAAATGAGCGTGCGGATGCTGCCGCTAAGGAAGCTGTCCGCTCTTGTCCCATCTCTCGTAAAGGCATTCCGTATTCCGACTTTTACCCGGTTATCCATTCCTCAGTCCTTACCCGTTGGCAGGCTTCTTGGTTGTCTGTTACTGGTAACAAGCTACGTACTCTTAAATGTTGTGTTTCCTCGTGGCCGTCCTCCTTCCACCGTAACCGGCGGTGGGAAACAGCTCTGGCGAGGTTGCGTATTGGCCATACTCGCTTAACCCATGGTCACTTGATGGAGCGCCGCCCTGCTCCTTATTGTCCTAGTTGCATTGTCCCTCTTACGGTCGTGCATGTCCTTCTTGAATGTCCTGACTTCCAGGACGAGCGTGTGTCTTGCTTTCCGACCGCCCCTCGCGGTCACCTGTCCCTCGATAGAATTCTTGGCGACTCGGATACTTTTGATATCGTTCGCCTTATGCGTTTTTGTTCTCGTATTGGCATCCTTGGTGATATTTAGCGCCCTCTGATTATTTTGCGTATTTGATGGTGCTACATAGCCTTCCCGGTTTGGTGCCTTCTTTTGATAATTACTTACTTACTTGCTCGAATGCCTCCTTCAGCTGTTGCAGACGTCTGACATCAGGTACCTGCATAAAAATGTCATCAACATACCTGTAGTATACAGCAGGTTTCAAATCCATGTCAACCAAGACCCTCTGCTCTATGGTATCCATGTAGAAGTTTGCAAACAGGACACCTAGGGGAGAACCCATGGCGACCCCATCTAGAGTACTATACTCACCTAATTGTGCTTGCAGGGGTTGAGCTCTGGCTCTTTGGTCCCACCTCTCAACCAACTGATGTACAGATTCCTGAGCCTACTGGGCTCAGGAGAAGCCACTGTACTTGCTTATACATGTGCTCATCGGGACTCAAGAAGGGTGCCTCTTAAGGCATCCTCTTTATGCAAGGGAGTTTAAAGCGGCAATGGATGGAATTTACAAAATATGTATTGTTTTATACAATTGATTTTGTAGGTTGCTTCAGGAAGGCAACATCAAAATGGGGGTGGAGAACCAATAATTTCTGTATCTAGATAACCTGAGAATCTGGAAAATTGGGATCCAGATAATGGGTGTCCTGTGGCTACAGTACTCTACTATTAACCACATTATATATATATTACAGTACTGTGCTGTTTTTGTGGCTTTCCCCACAGCAAAAAAATAAACACAAAGCCAAAATTAATATTTGAAATTTTCTCATTTAAGTAATAAACTGTACAGTATTTACATTTTCAGATGAATAAAATTATTATATTATTATATTATTATTATATTATAACATCTAGGAGGGTATGAACAATAAAGGGTAAATGATAAACAATATTTTTAAAATTCTTTACTTTCATAATAAAATAAATAGACATGCATCCATTATGCTCTTCCCCTCAATACAGTACAATATGTACTTTTACCGACATAAGACGCACACACACTCACACCTGTTAATACCATTAAATATCTCTACTCAACCTGCTGTAATCCCAGATCACAGCTCTTGCATTTTAAATATGCCATTTATATATTACATTAAATATTGTTTCTGCTTTTATATTGTAAAGTAATAATTTAAAGCAGAAACAATATTTAAAGTAAAATTTACAATTTATAAGATATGAAAAGTCAGTGAACAGATGCACAGAACAAAATATAAAAGGCCCATTGGAGCTTAACATGGCTAATATATATTTATTGATTAGAAAAAAATTATAATGTACCAATCCTCCTATAAAGTAAGAATGTAATTAAACCCATCCTCCTATAAAGTAAGAATGTAATTAAACCCATCCTCCTATAAAGTAAGAATGTAATTAAACCCATCCTCCTATAAAGTAAGAATGTAATTAAGTCTACACATTATTCAAAATAAGACCAGAATGGGAATTTGCATTTAAAATTATATTCATTATATATCCAGGGATGAAGCCCCCCAAAAATTTTTGAAGCAAGTCATTCTGGCTGCTAGTTATTCAAAGGCCACAAAACAGTTGCAAGTTAAACTCTAATGTTGAGGTCAATAAGGAAAGTGGATCAGAAGAAAAATTAAGACAACAATCAGGGTGTTGGACTGTGCATAATTCCAATGAAACCTCTTTAACCCTTGCCCGGTCCCACAAGGGCACAACTTTGGTTATGTTCTGAGACATATAAACACACTTTTGCTCCCAGAATTATGGCATTCAGTATGGTATATATTTTGGAGCATTTTTTCTTATAAATTCTCAGGATAAAATATTATCTATAAAATATTATCACAATTGCCTTTGTATATAAATGTATACAAACAGTATATATATAACGTCTAACCTTGAGTAAAACTATTAGACACTGAATTGTTAGATTTCAACCAAATTAATGTCAACTACAGTAGTACGTTTTTTGTACTAATGGCTTAATTAACTATGCATCAATGTAACTACCAGTACTAGTTTGACTACTATCATGTTCTCTCTATATTTTTAAATATACAGTGGTACCATCATTTACAAATTTAATTCACTCGCAAAACCAGCTTTTAACCCGAAACAAATTTTCCCACAAGAAATAATGTAATTTGAATTAATCTATTCCACTCTCCCAAAAATATTAACTTCAAAATACATTTCATACAAAATTAACAAATATTTTGTACTATAGTATGTACAAGTTAATAGCTTACCTTTATTGAAGACTTGTTGGCGTATGGAAGACTGTGAGGAGGGGGGGGGGAAGGAGGAGAGGTGTTTGTGCTTTGAAGGGGAGTGCCCTTCCATTTTAACATCAGGCAGTGATGACTTCTCTAGGGTACTCTCTCTCTCCTACATTTTGCCTGCATACCACTAGGACCTGATTGTGGCTCACTGCTTGTTTTTCTCACTAAGAACCTTTCCAGACTTGTTTTCCCTGTCTTAACACTTGTCTGTAGTGAGACATCCCATTGTCATTTAAAAAGGTTAATGCAACGGCCTGCTACAGCTTTATCTGGGCAAGTCTTTTCACCCAAACTTTGCAGGTCTTCATACTTCACACATTTTCTTAATGAGGAAGGAACATCCTCTACTCAAACTCTTTAGCCTTTCTCACAGGCTCTTCTCAGTGCAAGTAGGAGGCAGATGATTGTACCCGAGCCAGCTTCAAGGATTCTTCTGCAAATATTGCATGTGCTCATCAAAAGTCTAATATTTGAAGATTTAAAAGCCTAAAAGTCTACATGCTCATGTTCATCTCTTCAAAGTGGAGTAACCAATGGGAAGCATCAATGGTTATAAGCACAGACAGGAGCTGAAGAGAGTAATAATCCACCATTATAAATACAGTAATAGCAAATTTAGAAATGTCATTTTGAACAATAAAGATGCACACGCTTTAATATAATACTGTATTTGTTAACTGAGAATGCATACTTAATATATGCAATCAATAGTTAAAACAATATAAAGTAATGATAGTGTCGTAGTAGTCTGGGATGCCAGAGTTTGAATTATCAAGTCAAGGTGGCAAGCCTGGAAGACTTCTTAGCACTGTCTGTGGCACTAAACAGAGTTAGAGATAAGCAGAATTAAAGGATGATTATTTAAACCTCTGTATAAACAGAGTTAAATAAGAATCTGCATGCAAGCTTACAAATTACTGATGTGTAGAAATTAAATAATAAATTTTTGATTTGCAATACTATATTGTATTATACAAATTTAGATGAATAAAAATAAACAAATGTTAAACAGAAGTATGGATTGTAAATAAGGTATTAATTATTGGAATGTGTGGCCAAGATGTACACTAAGACAGGTACAAATGAGAGTGGAAGAAATAGTAACTGGTAAAAAAGATGCATTTTATTGTAGAAGAATTAGTTGAAGTCTTGTTGATGAATACACTGCATGAATAAAAAAAAAAAACAATGAGGAATTAAAATAATACAATATGAAATTTACAATGCTGTACAGTAGTCCTTAACATATATTGTAGCAGGTTAAGGATAAATTATTGTACGTTGCCCAGTCACACCCATTACACTAAGTTTCAATTAATTTTTTAATAAAATTTGATGCACCTATCCAAACTCAGATGGACGAGGCAGACTTACAAGAATAAGCTCTATTAAATACAATGTTTGATGTGCTTGTCCCTACGAGTAAAAGTAAATACATTTTGGAGCAGAGGCAAGAGCTAAATGCTAAACCATGGGCATCATCACCAGTATTAAGGCACTACAGGGAGGAAGAAACTCCCGCACCAACAGTAAGAAAAATATATATGGTGAACAGAAATAGGTAGTTTTCACAGATATTGTATATCCTAATTGCAATACGAAGCTGGTTTTATTTAGTGCACTTCACAATATTATTGGGGGGAGGGGGGGGGATTACAGTATGTGCACATGGTTTGTCTTCCGAGCACTGACCTTGAAGTTGTGGCTATTTTGCTAGTCTCACACAGGAGGCCAACTGCTGTACGTTACTTCAACTGCTTCAACCAAGATGACAAATTTATTTGAAAACCAATGCAAAATTTACCAAACCTGCGTACTGTATATCTTACAAAGGTAATGCTTATTTTACCCGATCCCAACTTTCACTGTCTAAAAAGTCATAACAGTAGCAATTTTACACAAAAATATAATTATTACTGTATACTGCACATTAGTCATCATGTTAGCGTGTTATATAGCTATTATGCACTCCAGTTCTTAAATGTACTTCAACTCATTAGGTCAACATGGTTTTTTTCAGTTTTTTATATCAGAACAAAGACAATTTGTAATTACTACAGTACAGTACTGTGCTTAATAAAACAACAAAGGAAAATTATAATTTGCAGATGAGTCACAATAATGTGGCTGAAAAATATTGACCAAACCACACACTAAAAGTGAAGACGACGACATTTTGGTCCATCCTGGACCATTATCAAATATTGTCTTGACAATTGACTTGATAATAGTCCAGAACGGACCGAAACGTCATTGTCTGTTCACTTTCTAGTGTGTGGTTTGCTCAACAAATTAAAATTCATTGCATTTTTCCACATCAATAATAAAATACTGCAGGATTCTACAGTTTATGTAGAAAAACAGCTCTCAATCATCCTTATAGTATCTGGAGTTAATAGTTTTTGCTGCCTGTGGTTCAACTTCAAGTAATGAACACATTTTATTTTCAAAAGTACCATCACTAGTTAACCAATGTAAAGTGTAAGCCTTAGCTAATCCTTATGTAGACTATCTTCATTATCATGAGTAATTATAATTCAACATAATTCCTCCTCAATTCATATAAATTTGTTCTGAAATACCTTATCAAAAACTCACAACTTTCAATTTCCTGCCTGGTCTTCTTCGGCAGCAAGCATTTCAGGTTCCAAGCACACAATATGGTCTGTGTTTGACGGAGTGTAACACAGGAGAGGATCGGTACTCTGACGTTTAAATTCCTCGAGGTCTCTGGCACTGCACAGAGGGGTTGGAATCTGAAAGTCAAATACTGTATTTTAAGATGCTTGTCTATATTATAATGGGGAGTGGGCTCACCTATTATAATGGGGCTTACATATGATAATGGGAAATTGGGCTCACATATGATAATTCTCATGTTATAGTGCATATAATGGGCTCATGTGCACTGTGTTAAATGCATGTCGCAGCCTCACATTAAATATGCTGTATTGATGGCTTTGTGACCTGAAAATTATAATGTTATAAAAAATCTAAATTAATGGCTGCCTGTGTGTCCAAGACTTCACATGATTTGTGAAGCCATCCTTATAAGAAGAGAATGTGGAGGAATGTGTTGCTTTAACAACCTGTTAACCAAATGATCTGGATCTTTTCCAGTTGGCTTCTTGGTCAACTTGTTAAAGTCCCAATTGCATCACATGATGGTAGCCACTGCCTACCAGGATGAAGCCCCAATGCTAAAAACTATTTGATTATTAATATAAAGTATGACTTGGGGGAAAGGTTCAATTATTAAGGAAGAAAATATTAATACCCAGTAACTAAAATGATGAACATTTACCTCTCTTGTTTTGTTGAATTCCCTAAAATCAACAACATAGTTGTCTGAGGCCTTGTCGAAATATACCAAGTTCTCGAATCTATGTCCCCATAAGACATCAGATGGCTGATATGAGTAGCGAGCCTGCATAGTGTTGCCTGTAGACTCGGTTGTACCCTCTAGGTAAACCACAAGTTCAAATCTGAAATAAGAGCCATGATAATGAGAAATTAATATTACCAGACTTTACTCTTGATCCGCAACTCCGTAAGGCTTGCAAAGGCAAGCAGAATGATTACGAGACAGTAAATGTACACAGGGCCACAGGCAACACATGAGTACGAAAGTGAGAACTAAATAAAATCAAAATAGTTTGATGTAGATCTCTCTTGAGAATTTACTTGTATTATCACATCAAAATTACAGTATACCTGTTCATGATCATTACACTTTTAACAATAATATTTGATTAGTGAACTGTGCAAGCAGCAGTACCATTTACACTAATGTTTGCTCATTTTCACTTAGTAATCTACATACAAGCAATCCTTATACAGTAATTTGAATTGCAGTAATTCGCTTTGGTCAATCACCCAAGTACTACTGTGACCAAAGCAATTAAGTTAGCACATATTTTTCTAATTACTGTACATGTCATTGGTTATGCACAAATGGCACAATTTCTTGGTTTGTGGGGGCAAGACCGTAGCAAACATGACATTATCCCAACCACGAAGGTAGGCCTTCATGGTTGGGATACACACTGATGCATAGAGCGCGGAGGAAGAGAGCCGGGAACACTTTTCTTAACAGGAGGAGGATGGTAGGAAAAGAAGTGAATGTACATACCACTATGCATGGGTTTCTTTTTTCCCTGCTTTCTTATCCTACCGTCCTCCTCTTGTTAAGAAAAGTGTTCTCGTCTCTCTCTCTCGTCCTCCGCGCATCAGTGACCCTCAGTTTCTCGATTCTGAAATTTCCTTAATTTACAAATCTTTCTGTTGCCTTGGTTACCCCTTACATTTTATCAACTGTGGCTACTCTCAAGCTAAACAAAATTTCTTTCATCCCAAACCCATTTCCAACACTACTTGTACTGTGCTCTGCCTTCCCTTCATATCTTAACTAAAAAAATCTCGCTAATACACTTCGTCCTCTAAACATAAAGCTCATTTTTTGACAAACTAACACTCTTTGTAATAATCTGGTTCACACTGCTGCTCCTGCTTCTATTACTGTTGGTGTCTACTCTATTTCCTGTTCATCTTGTCCTCTCCCAATACTTTGGGAAACTGGACATACACTAAATGACAGACTTAAAGAACACAAAAGAAGTGTCAAGTCTGCAGACACAAACAATGCTTTCTACTGTCGTTTTAGGGATTCTAATCATTCCTAAAGTCCGTTGTGGATTTGTTCATTCTAATCATCCTACTGACTGGTCTTCTAAAATAATCTTTCCTGTCTCTACTCTTCACAGTCGCGGTCTAATCAAATCGGCTCCGATACAAAACATGCCCAACATGAACTATAGTCCTGGCTTTGTTTTGACTCTTCCCTTTCACAGTACATACAGTACTCAAATGCTTTAACCTTCTTAACAAACGTGTCCTGTCATAAGCCTCCCCCCCCCATTTTTATCTCTCTGTTTACTCCTACTGTATTCTTATGTTCCCATTCTTATATTCAATTATTACACCCATCCCATCTGTACCATTCTTGTTTTTACTTTTCACCTTGTTCTTACCTTCCTCTAGGATTTACCTCTTACCTGCTCCTCACCTCACTTTTGCCTTACTTAATGCCCATGCCTCCCTTGTTCTCATCACAATTGACTTGATAATGGTCCAGGACAGACCAAAATGTTACGTCTCCTCATCTTCTGGTGTGTGGTTTAATCATCAAGAGGAGGATGGGTCCAATTCAGATGCAGTGTGCTGGTTTCACAGCAGGTACTGAATCAAGAGTTCTTGAATCACACAAAGACAACTAGAAAATGGAACTTAGTGCTGGAAAAAAGGTTGGAGAAACTAGGCTACAAACAGTCACCTGAATAATGTACTCTCAGGAGAATGGTAGAAATGTTCAGCTCTTTATCAGGAAGGGGGGAACACAGTGTCTTAAGAGAAAATGGATTTATGGACCAACAAACCTCTAAGGCCAGAATCTAATTCTGTCTTTCAGAAACCCCCAATTTCCCCTCCCTCCAACCATCTCTCTGGCAGATAGGAAAAGACCAGAGAGGGTTATTTTGAGATGATTTCGGGGCGTAGTGTCCCCGTGGCCCGGTCCTCAACCAGGCCTCCTTTTTGTTACGCAGCCCGTAGCAGCTGTCTAACTTCCAGGTACCTATTTACTGCTAGGTAACAGGGTCATCACAGTGAAAGAAACTGCCCATTTGTTTCCACCTCCACCAGGGATCGAACCCAGAACCTCAGGACTACGAATCCGAAGTGCTGTCCACTCGGCTGTCAGGCCCCCTAGGGTGCCTACATCCTAGAAACCAAATGGCCAGCAGAATTAGTAACACACCCCCTGGCCAAACTTGGCTGTCCCCAAACCCACACTCACCAAAAGGCATGAATCACGTGGAATACTTGTTATATGCTCCCTCTGACTTCCAGACTCTAGCAACAGGGGACCTGAGCAACTCTCCAGAGGAACTGTTTCCCCAAGGGGTGGTGGGATAGTGTGTGGAGTTCAACTAGCAGACCTGTGCAATCAGGTATTTCACATGCAGCCGGCTTCTTGGCTTCACGGGGTGTCTGCCTCCTCAGCAGGCTGTCTACAACTCTTCATTAATGATAAACGAGCTCACAGCTAGTGCACACTGTACTCAACTCACCCATCACACCTCATGGAACTGCACAAGCATATATATGGAAAGCTAGTTGGCGGCTCACCCATAGGAGTTGCCAAGCTGCAGTCCTCCCAGACACACTCACTACCACGTGTATGACTACATCAACCTCACACTAGAATAATAAGCAACTAACAAATGCATCATAAAAGGTCTTTATATGTTATTTTCAATATGTTTATGACCAATTTTTGACAAATTTAATTAAAACGAGACAAAAATAGAAGTTTCATGCTGTACAATAGTGTAGGATTTATCGGCACTACATCTGACAATGTTGAGTTGCAGTGACTCGGTCCCTGGTTTCTATTTTTCCATGAGTGCCATCTTCTCCATCTTTTGAGTCGTGGTTTGGTAATCATTTTTCAGCCGCGTTATTGTGACTCGTCATCTGCATCTTACCACTAAAAGCTAGGATACCCCCCAACTTCTTAAAGGCTTAATAAGGCACCTCTGCCATGACATTACATTAACAGTGTTATTGCATGATCTCACAAATGTCTTATACAATCAGGCTGAGGTCCAGAATCGACAATTCCAAAATGACATCCGCTGTCTCATAGCGTCTGCAAAAAATGTGCACAAGCCTAGATTCTCCATCAGATATGTTCCACAGTGAACAGGAGCTACTTATAACTCAACCTCTACAGGGTCAATCAATAAAGAACAAAGCCAGGAGGGACACACATAGTTAATGAAATGTAAAATAATTAAAAGAAAACAGGTTATACATTACATTGTTGGTTTCTTCCCAAAATTAATTTAAATGCCCAGTTGGCTCTCTTCAGAAAGATATAGATACTTTGGAGAAATTTTAACACTGGTCAACAAAAGTCATTCCAGAACCAAGTCGACTCATACTAGGTAAGGTTGAGGTCCACAGGACTAACACTGCAAACCAAACATGACACGAGAGGCCTGATCTCATCAAAACTTAAAATCCTGAACAATTTGGAGGATATTGATCCAAACAACTTCAAAAGGTCAGATGTAACACAAACAAGACGTAACAGTTTGAAGTAACAGAAGTAATTTGACTAAACATATCCTTGGCATCAATCACTTAACTGTCCCCCATGCCCTTCTTGCCCTGAAGAGTTGTCATGACATGCGGGAAGTCTCTGCCGCTCCACTTTTGTTGCTTAATGCACGAGTTACTACTGTACTCACTCACTCAGATGTTTACTACAGACTTGACAAAATGCTGAATACCTGCCTGATAACTGCACATATGCAAATGACTTTATGAGAACCCCAAATCCTCACTGTACCTCATCACTGCGACCCCGAGTGCCTCTTACCACAAGTTCCACTAAACACTCGTAGCTGGATACCAGCTTCTCCTTCCAGAGGACTATCACTAACAATCACTGGAACTGTCTCTGCACTACCTGTCTCATTGTCTTTCACTGGGGTATCAAAGTCAGGGTTGCTCTTGCATGTAACCACTTCATTGCACTTCTTACCTCAGCAAATACCAGACCTTCTGAGCTGGTAATGTCCTTGAGAATGTGGTACAGAGTAAGCTGAAGAGTGGCCCTTCACATAGGTCCTTTGCATGGTAGAGGCTCTTCAGTTGGGCATCTGATATCACTCTGGTCCCTGACCATTGGTTTTCCTCACTGGCGCTCTTCAGCTTGCACTTTCTCGGAGAAAACATATAAGTAACCTCTCCAAGGTTAACCAGGCTTCTCCTTGGGATAGTGCAAGGTCTGTAGAACCCGCCCTCCACCGAATCTCTGGGCACAATGTCGCCTGCCCCAATGTGAAACCAGCTTGAGCTTGCTCATTTATGAGCAAACCTTGGGCTACTTGTTGATTGGTTACTTCAAGCAACTGCAACCAATTATTTTCCCTCTTTTCATCCTGCTCTCATCATCTATACCTCCATCTCTTTAGGCACCAAGATCCTCTCAGCAGCAACATCAACTGCCATCTTGGAATATGTCATTAGGCTTCTCCCCCCCCCCCCATCAAAACAAAGTTTGAAATTCTCAAGAAAGTGCTGCAATTTACAGCCTTCCCATATCTAATAAAACATTCTCTGGGCTGTCCAATATGTACAAGGAGCTGGAAAAATTGCTCGACACTGGGAAAGGTACTAAATGAGATGATGATTGCAACAAGCTGCAATAAAAAAGCTATTTCAGTAAATAGGTGAAGCATGAAGATGGCCAATGCCAACACAAACAGGTGGGAGACATGTGGAAAGTGGAGGCAGACAACTGCCTAATGAGCTTAACTCTTCAACGACGCAAAATAGAAGCAGGGAAGTGAAAAATATTGGAATTATGTAAAAATTACTTAAAAATATTAAACAAATCTCCAACATATTGGTTTCAGCATTGTGAAAATTATCAAAATATTTTCAGAAATTGATTTTAGACAAATTTTTTTAAAAAGAAGGTTTTGTTGATAAGGAGAACACCTATGCTTAAAGAAGAAGAAAAGTAGTAAGAAGTGTCCACAAAGTGAACATGCAGCTGGTGCTTTATAGCATTGCCGAGTAATGCTATAAAGGCATAATAACAAATAATAATGATTAATTATGTTATTATGCTCTATATTGTTATATAAATATATTGCCCAATGTTAATATCTGTTACTTTCATCAATGTCGAAAAAATATTTTTTTTTTTTTTTGGGGGGGGGGGGGGGGAGGTTTGCATACCCATCCCTAACTATGTGAAGATAGAATTAAATTTGTCAACAAATCGGTCACAACTCGCAGAACCTGGGACTTTGTATTTTCTTTTGCTGATTTTTTTCACAGATTTCAAACCATTTTCTTTGTCTCTTTAGGTTGTTTTCATGATTAGGGACCAGATTACACTTTTTTCACCTATATAAAGTACTGTATACCCTAAATATATCCCTGAAATCATTATAATTATCCCCTATATTTATTTTTAGGGGGGGGTTATCTTGAGGTTATCTTGAGATGATTTCGGGGCTTTTTAGTGTCCTCGCGGCCCGGTCCTCGACCAGGCCTCCACCCCCCAGGAAGCAGCCCGTGACAGCTGACTAACTCCCAGGTACCTATTTACTGCTAGGTAACAGGGGCATTCAGGGTGAAAGAAACTTTGCTCATTTGTTTCTGCCTCGTGCGGGAATCGAACCCGCGCCACAGAATTACGAGTCCTGCGCGCTATCCACCAGGCTACCAGGCCCCTGGGGGTATTTTTCTTGATTTCATTTCAACACATATTGACCTACAACTTTCCCATATTTGAGTACAAATGCCAAACAATGTTTATTAAAACATACAAGTAAGTTAATGAATTAGAACTACTAGAGTCAGATAAAAAAAAAAAAAAATACAGTTTCTGAAAAATTCTCACCATTTTCACATATACAGGCTGTAGTGTACACAGCTGTCTGTTCTACAATCCCTATAAAATGGATTTTTCATAAACCCTTAACGTTTGGAATTACAGTACATGTATATATTTTTTTTTCTTCTAAATTTGCCGGATATTTCAAATGCCATATTGACAATTTTTTTTTCCAATAAACTACAGTATACTGAAAACCTATATTCTAATTTGATGAAAATGAAGATCATATGCTATTCTGAGAGCATAATAACACCAAATGAACAATTGGCGATACAGTACTGTAATTTATTTTTTAACCGATTTAAAAATCTGAAGTTTTCAATATTCAGTTTTAAAAATATTTTTGATTTTCTTGTTTGTCAAGTTACATTGGAGATCATTTAGACAAAGTTGGAGCATTTCATAGTTGATTATGCACAAAAAATTGGAAAATGTTTGTGCAAGTTTGAGAAACTGATGTTATGTCCAATCATATATGTATGTTTGCACCGTTTAAAGGCTAATGGCCAATGTGGACAAGGAATTAGTGGCTTTATTTAGTATGCAACCCCTTTACCTTCAAATATATACTGTATCTATTATGTTCTATATGTATATTTTATTATTATAGGCAGTCATGTGTGTTATTGTGCTTATATTTTCTGACGAGCTTAGCCTGGTGGATAGCGCGCAGGACTCTTAATTCTGTGGTGCGGGTTCGATTCCCGCACGAGGCAGAAACAAATAGGCAAAGTTTCTTTCACCCTGAATGCCCCTGTTACCTAGCAGTAAATAGGTACCTGGGAGTTAGTCAGCTGTCACGGGCTGCTTCCTGGGGGGTGGAGGCCTGGTCGAGGACCGGGCCGCGAGGACACTAAAAAGCCCCGAAATCATCTCAAGATAACCTCAAGATAACCTCCCCATCATTGTGGTTAATCACTTATTCCGTATTCTCCTAATTGCTTCGCTGAGTGTGCCAGATTCTGGTCCTGGCTTCCAGTAGGCTATGGAAGGTTCTCAAAGGCTTGGCGTGTTGAGCTAAGGCTTCATATCAGAGTTAAGCTCAGGGAGCCATCGAGAGGTCCCTTCCCAGAAATTAAAAGTCATTAAAAGTTACAATACTTAATGTTATAAAGATTATAAGACTGCACCATAAGCACAGCTCTCATTCCATGACTATACTTGGGAAAATACACACAAAAAACATTAACCAGACATATTAATTAGGCAAAAAGGTTGAAACAAAAATAATTTCTTACTTTTCATTCATAAGATCCAGAGCAGACATATTAAAGAATGGTGAATTTTCATCAATAATGTGAACAATTGTCATTGGCCATATGAAGAAGAGGTTTTCTGAGCCATCATCATTTCCCACTTTCACATCATACTGATGATAAGGAATCTCTTCTCCCTCTTCAGTCCTCCTTTTACGCAAAACCTGAGGGAAATAAAATAAGAGTAAAAATAATTTTTTTTAGAAAGAGTGGCATTGTTACAGTACAGAGTAAAAAAAAAAAAAAAAAAAAAAAAAAAAAAAAAAAAAAAATAAAAAAGAGAGAGAAAGAGAGAGAGAGAGTGTGAGTGAGTGAGAGAGAGTGTGAGAGAGAGTGTGAGAGAGAGTGTGAGAGAGAGTGTGAGAGAGAGTGTGAGAGAGAGAGTGAGAGAGAGAGTGAGAGAGTGAGAGAGTGAGAGAGTGAGAGAGAGAGAGAGAGAGAGAGAGAGAGAGAGAGAGAGAGAGAGAGTGAGAGAGTGAGAGAGTGAGAGAGTGAGAGAGTGAGAGAGAGAGTGAGTGAGTGAGTGAGTGAGTGAGTGAGTGAGTGAGTGAGTGAGTGAGTGAGTGAGTGAGTGAGTGTGTGTGTGTGCACAAAATAAATACAGTATCATTGCACTCCAACTCCCAACCCATACCCAAGTACAGTCGGGTTTGTTTTCGACTCACAATCGAGAATTCTGGGATCGAATCCCGAGCGGGACAAATGGTTGACCACATTTCCTATCACCTAATGCACCTGTTCACCTAGCAGTAAGTAGATACCCAGGAGTTAGTCAGCTTGTTGTGGGGTAGCATCCTAGGAAGAGTCAGTAATTCGACCTTGGAGGGAGGGAGGGGACATTGATACAAGCCTATACAAATCCTGTATGTCCTCCTAACAATGAATTATTATTATTATTATTTAACCAAAAAAACAGATAGGTATAAATTAAAACAAACCTGAGCTTTTACACTGGCTCCAATGATAAAGGATTTTCTCATGTCGCCAACACGGAACATGACGCACAGTTTACTATCACGGAGACAGATACAGGCATTGCGGGAGAACAAGATGGTGTTGCTTCGTTGTTTGGGGCGTGTTAGTTTGGCAAAGACTACGCCCACCATGAAGGCCTGCAATATGACACCAGTGATGCTTTGAATGCACATTAAAAAAACTGCCTCTGGACATTCCTCTGTGGCGTATCTGAAATATGAAAAATTGTGTATTAATTGACATAATTAACTGAAGGATATGGTTCCTTTTACCAATCCTTAATCATTTTACTGCAATGCTGGAGCTTTTACTTTTATACTTTTCAAAATATTCAAAACATTTCACAGCATAATGTTAAAAATCCAATTGACATCAAAATCCTGCTTTTGTCAAAAGATCACAAAATTTATACTATACTGTATTGAAAGATTATAAATACGCAATTAAAAGCTGTTCATTGAGGTAAATATTGATAATTAACAAGTTTAACTACATTTCAATGGGTTAAAGTTGACTGAAAGAAGTTAAGAAGTACATGGCAGTAAGTAAATTATGGAAGTAGAGTTGAGTTATCACATACTGACAATAATTCACCTGGAATGCATGTTGTCTGACCACACCTAGTTGTAATAATCTGAATTACAAAATCTTGGTTATGCAAATGATCAAGGCTTTATATGTTCTACTGTACACAAATATAAAATGGTAATGGAATTCACAGTCACATCATTAAATTAACATTTTTCATTTTATTCTTGGCACTTAACTGTATTGAGTAATTTATGTCATTCAATTTCTTCCCTTATAGAGCTTCCACATTTTGTGCTGTGTATGTATGTGTGTTATATACAGGGAAGACACCATGCACTGGATGAGGTGGTAATTACCTAACTTTATTCCTCAATACTGCGACTGTTTTGAAACTTCTTAGATGGATGTCGTAGAACCCATGTACATCACACAAGATATATATATTATATATTCCCAAATCCAGACTAAATCATGTAAACATACCATACAAATAAAGGAACCCAATAAAATTATCTCCCTTTCTAAGGAAGTATACAACTGCTCAACATTTACTTTATTCAAAATTATAACAAAGTACCTAATTCCCCCACCACTGTATCCTCATTGTTCTCATCTATTGCCTTTGAACTTGCCTAGTAATTAACTTCATCAATATAATTTCTCATTTTAATACCCTAACCTATTAATACAGCAATTGTGTTAAATTTTCTTATTACAGAATATACCTGCCACTACTACTATTTTTTAAGATTGATCGTTTCACCTTGTAATTCAGATTCACTGCATATCGTGTGCTAGATTTAATACCTGGCTGAATTGTTGTGTGTGTTAGTGGCATTGCAAGAATGGTCCCTTTCCAGGGAACATAGGATTATGGACTTGCCCAAAATGCTACGCGTACTAGTGGCTGTACAAGAATGTAAAAACTCTTGTACTGTATATATCAATAAATATCAATAAATAATAAATAAAAAAAAAGAATGTACTGTACCACTTAATCACCAAAACACACACTTTCACAATACATTGCTCCTTCTCGTATATTACCGGGCGTATACTGTACCTGGAAAAGGTTCTTGGAGTTGTTCTACTCCCAGAGCCCAGCCTGAGGTTATCACAAGTCAGGCTCGACTTGTGATAACTTGGTCCAACAGGCTGTTGCTTGGAGCGACTCGTAGGCCCACATATGCACTACAGCCTGGTTGGTCTGGCACTTCTTGCAAGAACTTATCAAAGTGCTTCTTGAATACATCCCCCTTTGTTCCGGCAATATTTCTAAAGCTTGCTGGGAGGGGGTTGAACAGTTGTGGACCTCTGATGTTCAGGCAGTGTTCTCCGACTGTGAACAGCACCTCTACTCTTCACTGGTTCTATACTGCATTTTCTTCCGTATCTTTCGCTCTGGTATATTGTAATTCTACTGTGCAAATTTGGGACCTGGCCTTCAAGTATCTTCCATGTATATGTTATTTTATATCTTTCTCATCTCCTTTCCAAAGAGTACATTTTGAGAGCTTTGAGACGGTCCCAATAATTTAGATGTTTTATCGTTTTTATGTGTGCCGTATTTGTTCTCTGTATTCCCTCTAATTCAGAAATCTCTCCTGCTCTGAAAGGGAAAGCGAGTACTGAGTATTACTCAAGATGGGACAGCATCTGTGATTTAAATAGTACTTATTAGCATTGCTGTGGGGGTCTCATAATCCATCCTATCATTTTCCTGGCCACCGTTATATTTGCTTGGTTATGTTCACTAAATATCAGGTCATCAGACAACATAATTCCCAGATCTTTTACATGCTGCTTTCCTTCTATGAGTAGGTCTATGTCCTGTATCCTGTGTTTCGTATACATTCCTCGTTTCCACCATACCTAAGTACTGTACCTGGAACTTGTCCCTGTTAAACATGTTATTTTCAGTTAAACATGTTATTTTCTCCAGCAATGGTTCGTCTAGTTTTGCTAGTGGAACTGGTGCTGGGGAGTGTGGTAGTTTTCTATGGAGTTGAGGGGGGGTAGGGGGTAGTATGTGCGCGCCTGATGATGAATTGTAGTCCAGTCTTGGGCATTTCTCCCTCCCTATCCATACTCTTGCAACGTTTCTGTCTGCCTATTCCTCTCTTGCATGTTCTACTTATTTTCTGTCTGTCTAAAAAAACTTCCAGGGTTACTATATTGGACCTCTCACGTAGAAATCAGGGCATTGAAGATCATAGCATTTTCTCTCATTAATTAAGTTTGTATAGGGTGAAAATGTCTGCACTTTTTTCGAAAATTATATTTACCCCTCCCTAATATGTTTCTGGAGATTTGGGATGCGTGAATGTGCATTCTGTGCCTGTGGACTCTTATTTGCACATTCCTTTTGCATAATATTTGCAAATATTTTATTTGTGATTTTATTCTGATTCACAATAATGCACCTTATTTTTGCATAATATTTGCAATTATTTTATTTGTGATTTTATTCTAATTGTTTATACTTGTGCATGCCTTGGCAACCTTTGTTTTGGAGTAATCTGTTGTTTGTCCTAACTTTTTCGTTTCTGCATTCTCTCAGCATTACTCTCATCTTTCTCATTTTTGCTCTCAGCTTTCTCATTTGTGCTCTCATCTCTCTCATTTTTAGTCTCATTATTCACATTACAGGTTGGCTCTTCAATATTGCCATCGTTTTTGTTTACCTCGACACAATGTCCTTCCACATTGCTTATTTGGAAGCTCTCTAAACTATTAGTCCCTGGGTTGTGTTCTGTGTTAGTTATTGTTTTTACACAATCTGCATACATTTCTGGTAGTTTTTTGTGAATGGTAGCCTATGTGCTTCAGGATTGTCATTCATTAGTTTGGTGATGTTTTCCCATATCAGTCCGATTGTTTGCATAGTGTGTAGGTAATTCTGTACAACTCGGGTGAAATCTTGTGTTACAAATATTATATTTTATACAGAGTAATCAAACTAACGTGACTGCATCAACGAGAAAATCCGTAGGAGCCGTGATGAGGTTTCAAACCTACTCCAGGTTGCAATTATTTTTTTTACCATGTCATGGTCTAGTCGCTAGCGCGCGCGTGTGCGTGCGTGCGTGTGTCGGGGGGGGGGGGGGCAACCCCCACTGCATTGGTTTGAACTCTCATCACAGCTCCTATGGATTTTCCCATTATATTTTATTTTATTTTATATTATTTTACAACAAAACGGGTTCCAGATTTGTTGTATGGTTACTTGTTCTTGAAGTAAACAAAAGTAGTAATGTAAGTGATCAAACACAAGCCATTTACAGTATATATGCCATGTAAAATTTATAGACTTCATACATTTGTTCAATAACATAATTGGATTCCAATCAAAATTATACCAAAAACTGTGTCAAAGAAATACACTGATGTATTTGAAATACCACCATTAATAAGAAATGTGTACTACCTGAAACCATAGCCTATTGTGTGTTGGGTCTCGATTGAGTAAAGAAAGCTGCCGGTGAAGCCCCGGACATTCTGTACACAGGGCGTGTGGTCCAGGATTTCTTGATCATCTCCATGCACTTTGATGATCATGTACCAGATGAAAGCAAAAATTAGCCAACTGCAAAAGGAAATTATTAGTGTTAAACACAAAAAAACAAAACAATTAAAGCAATGACTGTAGTTCTTTTAATTGAGATAGGCCTATATAAAAAAAATATTGGAAGTACAGTATTATCTTGTAATTTGAAAGAAAAGTGTTCTAAGATTGGTATATCTGTAACTTAGCATACTTACCCTCAGAAATGGCATGTTAAGCAAAATGTGCACAAATTAATAAAATAATTCAAGCTAAGTACGGTGTGTGCTCACAAAACCAAGGGCTTCACATTACTGAAAATGAAAATCATTAAGCATATTTTTCTACTTAAAACTTAACTTTGAATATACTAATGCTAAAACAATTACTCTCCTTCACCCTCTTGCAACATTACATGTGGTATGACAGTTCTTCAGCTCGTAGGCCTGTTACCAGCCTATAAACTTGACTGTTCTGACAACGTCTACTATAGTAGTAGGCATCAGTCTTGAGAGTTGTTGTTAAAGATTCGCTACCCGGAACAAAAAGTTCCAAGTAACACGGGAGACTATGGAGTTGTGCTCTGGGTGTCGGTCTGGAGTGGCCTCTCCAGGGCGCAAAGCCAGGGTACGTTGATATGGGGAAGAAGTTGTCACCCATGCAGCAGGTCCCCTCCCTCTCCACAGCGCTAAAAGTCTCCAATGGAAAGGCAAACGCCAATACAATTGGTTCCAGTGCCGTTGCAGGAACTGTCAGAACGAAGCTGAAGGTAACAACTTACGTCCTCTAATTACTCAACACAAAGCTGCTATTAGGACAATATCCAATTCTGGCCCCAGACATCACTCGGTACCCCTACTCAAATCTCTGAATATGTTAGACATTAAGTCACTGCACATTCTCTCATGTGTATTATACATATATAAGACGCTTAACTATAATGCCAATCCTGATCTCAAAAGCTTCATAGAAGGTTGTAACAGAACCCATGAGCACCACACCAGAAATAAACACAGTTTTGATATTCCTAGAGTACGACTTAATCAAACCAGAAATGCTCTACAAATCAAGGGGCCCAGAATGTGGAATGACCTTCCCAACCATGTTAAAGACAGTACCTCTCTCAACCAGTTTAAGTTAAAAACGAAGCTATACCTAATAAATTCCCTGTAACCTACCTTACCCCTCTATTGTCAACCCATGTATGCTTTTTTTTTTTTTTTTTTTTTTTTTTTTCTTCAAATCAACGCTGTTTGAATGTAATTTTCTGTAATAATTTGTAATTGTATTTGTGCTGCTTTTTCAACAATGTTCCCCCCTCTTTTACCTCTATTTTTATTTGTACTCAACGCATTTTTCCTGCCCGAAACGCTCTGCGTAATAGTGGCTTTAGGCATTGTATGTACTAGCTCTATCTATAAAGCCAACAAACTTTGTAAAATCTCTTTATGTATGTACCTTTACCTAAATAAAAATTATTATTATTATTATATAACTAACTGCAGCTCTGAAGTTTACCTGAAAGTTGGTAAAAGAAGGCACAGGGACATTGTCAGAATATACTGCAAACCTCTCCCCCCAAAAACAAACCTGCTCACCTGGACATCCTCCCCTCTTCAAACCTGCTCGTCTGGACATCCTCCCCTCCCCAAACCTGCTCGTCTGGACATCCTCCCCTCCCCAAACCTGCTCACCTGGACAACCTCCTCCCCCCTCCTCCAATGTTCACCCTATAGTTAAGGATGATAGAACAGAATTAATCTATAGATCTTGGGAGGAAAACTATAGGAAACAGAGAGAAAAGAACTAGTGAGAATATATTTCCAGCGCAAACACACAAACCTCGAGCAAACATTGGCGGTACAGGGAAGACAATAGCAATTTAAATGTCTATATATGGAATGTTTATTAATTTACACAGCCTATATTGCATCACTACTAAGAGTTCCCAATACTGTCTTAATTGTAATCTGCAACACATGAAGCATGTGTTGTTTCAAAAGTTTCAAAAACTGTTGGCATTCTTTCTAAGATCAGATATTATGTACCCCGCCCTGCCCTGGTTACTCTCTATTACTCCCTCATCTATCCATACCTCAACTATGGTATTTGTGCTTGGGGTTCTACTACCCAAAATCATTTACGTCCTCTTATTACCCAACACAAAGCTGCTATTAGGACAATATCCAACTCTGGCCCCAGACATCACTCGGTACCCTTACTCAAATCTCTGAATATGTTAGATATTAAGTCACTGCACATTCTCTCTTGTGTATTATACATATATAAAACGCTGAACTGTAATGCCAATCCTGACCTCAAAAGCTTCATTGAAGGTTGTAACAGAACCCATGAGCACCACACCAGAAATAAATATAGTTTTGATATTCCTAGAGTACGACTTAAACTAGAAATGCTCTACAAATCAAGGGACCCAGAATGTGGAATGACCTTCCCAACCATGTTAAAGACTGTACCTCTCTCAACCAGTTTAAGATAAAAACTAAACACTACCTAATAAATTCCCTGTAACCTACCTCACTCCTCTATTGTCAACCCACGTCTGTTATTTTTTTTTAATCAACACTGTCAACCTATTGTATTTGTGCTGCTTTTTCAGTCATGTTCCCCCTTTTTTTTTTTATCTTTATTTGTATTTGTTTTCAACACTTTTTATTCTTTATGCTCAATTAGTATTAAGTTCTAGATATTAATGTTTTTCTTGCCCGAAACGCATTGCGTAATAGTGGCTTTAGGCATTGTATGTACTAGCTCTATCTATATATCAATCCATTAATGTAACATCACTTGTATGTATGTACCTTACCTGAATAAACATATTTATTTATTTATTTTATTTGTTGCAGACTCGCTTGCATTATTGAGCGAGTACCAAGGTTTACAATAAGGCCAATACTCGAGTAGAGAGGACTATCTTCTTGAGGTTATCTTGAGATGACTTTCGGGGCTTAGTGTCCCCGCGGCCCTGTCCTCGACCAGGCCTCCTTTTTGTTACACACCCCCAGGAAGCAGCCCATAGCAGCTGTCTAAATCCCAGGTACCTATATACTGCTAGGTGAACAGGAGCATCAGGGTGAAAGAAACTGCCAATTTGTTTCTGCCTCCGCCAGGGATCGAACCCGGAACCTTAGGACTACGAATCCCGAGCATTGTCCACTCGGCCATCAGGCTCCTCTCCAAGGTAATAAGAGATCTGTTAAACACCACTACTGGAGGAGAGAGGCACAAGGAATATGATCTCTACATACAAAATACTGAGGTGTAAGCAAGGTTGAAAAGAACAGCGGGAAATATAGGCAAAACTTAAAAATGGTGGCCTTTTTGTGGTCAGTAAGTGTTCAAGTTGAATGTATTAAAAGAAGACGTTAAAGCCATCTTCAGCTACAACTTCAAGAGAAATACAACAGAAGATTAAAATAAAATGCACCGGGTATAACATTTGTGAAGATGGGCCATGAAGAGCTAAAATTACATCTCCGTAATAATTGATAGGTAAACACCCGGACCGGGGGGGGGGGGGGGCCGGGGCCACCCGGACACGTGGGGGGGGGGGCGGGGCCACCCGGACACGTGGGGGGGGGCGGGGCCACCCGGACACGTGGGGGGGGGCGGGGCCACCCGGACACGTGGGGGGGGAGGGGGGCGGGGCCACCCGGACACGGGGGAGGGGGGCGGGGCCACCCGGACACCGGGGAGGGGGGCGGGGCCACCCGGACACCGGGGGAGGGGGGCGGGGCCACCCGGACACCGGGGGAGGGGGGCGGGGCCACCCGGACACCGGGGGAGGGGGGCGGGGCCACCCGGACACCGGGGGAGGGGGGCGGGGCCACCCGGACACCGGGGGAGGGGGGCGGGGCCACCCGGACACCGGGGGGGGGGGGTGTGGCACCCGGACACGGGGGGGGGGGGCCGGGTGGTTTATCCTTCAACATCTTATGTTTTCACCCTTGATGATTGTATCCACATCTACATCCTGGTAGCACTATGCTGCCAGGATGTAGATGTGGATACAATCATCAAGGGAGACAACATACGTATGTTGAGGGATAAACATTTCCAGGTTATTATTCCCCCTGAGCTGCAGGCCAGGAAGACAATAATCTTGAAGAGACTTGATGCAGGAATTACTGAAGACACCCCAGAAAATATTAAACACGATATAGAACGGAGGAATGAGTGGGCCAAGGTAGAAGAGGTAATCCTCATGCCGAGATTGTCTAACATGATGAAAATAAGGTTTGAAGAAATCTCCATGGCACAGAAAGCCCTCAGCCAAGGTATCCATTGCAACTACTATCACCTTAGCACGGACAACAACAACCTTGAGCAGGAGAAATATTATAAAATTACTGTCGGAAAATCCGACACCATTTAATAATCATACAGATAATAACTGTATTACCAACAAGTTACCCATAGAAAACGTAACTTGTAGTGGAATTACCGTCTATAGAAAACGGGATATCATCACCACATACTATTATATTCTCCACCTATTATGGTGGGAATTATTCTTAAATACATTAGTCTTTGGACTTTACCATCATAAAAACATCTTATATAAATTAACTTAATTATCAATATTAAAGTAGAGTAAATGTGACCCTTCTATCACTTTCTGAAATCTGGACAAAGTAGGCCAGGCGTCAGGGAGGAAGGAGGGAGCCATTGTTGTGTCACCTCCGAGACGTGTGGAGCATATTTAGCTCCTATCATATCTGGACAATGTCGGCCAGTAACGTCAATAGTATGGAGTGTTAAACAGCCATTGTATATTGAGACCAGAGGCTCACACGGGAGCAAATTCGGCTCCTGTTAAATTTACTTGGACGTAGTGTTATGGAAACCAAAGGTACCATCTCCAACACGCTGTCTACAAATTCAAGTTAAGTGTCTATCCGAAACCCATTTATCATTCATTTATGGCCATTAATGTCAGGATATAGGGTGACCCGGTTAGATCACGTGGAAACCTCAAACTAAAGGTAATTAAGCCAGGT